ACCTTCCTCCGCTCCTGCCAACATCTGCAGCTCCTCTGCCAACACCAATATCCACCTTTCCCTTTTACTCACTTTCTACACCCCCCTTTATACACTCTCTCTGTTTTTCTTAATCAGTCTCTTTTCACTGGTTTTATGCTTTGGCAGCATCCAACTCCAGAACCTGATGAAAGGAAATGTGTGCCTCTAGAAACATTGCTGTAAAGATCAAAACTCACCAGCAGAAGCATTCCCAACAGAATTGTAGTTCATGTAAAATTTACATTTGAGAAAGTTTGGATATTCTGCAGAAATTCTCTTTTTGTTTTCCACAAACAAAAGAAAGTTCGATAGGTTTGGAGTGACATAAGAGCAAGTAAATGGCAAAATTTATGTTTTTGGGTGAACTACTCTGTCTTCTAACGGAAACTTTGTGCTACTTTGACCAGTAATGCCCAGAGTGATGATGACTCATGAGCACAGCTTTAGTTACATGTCATTTTATTAGCATTTTACAGATGCTAATGTGTGTAAACTTTGATTGCCCTCAGTCACATCAGCAGTGAGTCGTTTTATGAACACACATTAATCAGAACTCAGGCCTTGTTTATGATAGCTGACAGCACACGGGGGTCTGCATCCCGTCAAGCAAGGTTCAGCACAGACCTTTCTCTGAAGGTTGTCTGTCTGGAGCTGGAAAGATCCTTGTCATGATGTTTGGAGAGATATGAGTGCTATAGGTGAAGAGGCTTCAGATGCAGACAGCTTCTTCCCTCTTAGCTGGGAGTAGTCGAGGCCTTGGGCTGCCAGAACAGTCTGACACATGTCACCTGTACTTCCTGACTGCTCACTTCTGAAGAAACCAACTGAATGGATCATCTGTGAGGATGCCAAAACTACAGTCAAACCAAAATTGTCCAGTATCACTATATAAACTATCTTCCAACCTCTGTGTGGGAATAACAGGCTAGGCAGTATGAGGAAAAAGTGTGATCACTTTGATCACTTTCTTTGCATTATTTATTACCTGTTTTCTAGTAGGCCTACTAGGGATGCTACTTTGAAACTAGTTTGCTATGCTAATCAAGCTAATCATGATTTCAGTAGTTAAAATACAATTCACTGAAATAAAATCTAGCTGTTTCACAGCTGTGAC